TTTTTTTTTACTAGTGAAGTGCTTTTAGTCATATATAATGCTTTAAAAGTTTTTATTAAGGTAATTTGATTGTGTTATTACTTAATTTGTCCATGAAGGTACAAAAATGTCACAGCTTGTAGAGTGATAAGCATATAACACTTGGGATTTTATACATTAAAGTGAATGTGTTGCTAGCAACCATGTTATTTGTAAAATAACCTATAAGGTAATATAGTTCAAATACCCATTCAGTCAATCCTTGGGGTAGAATGCTTGTTAATAAGTTTCATGGAATATACATATAAAAAAAAATAACTTTAAAAATGAAAAGAAACTTTGATTAGGAAAAGGAAGAAATATGACCATTTATAATTTAAATCTGGTTAAAATCAATTATCTATGCTGATAACTTGCCATAGTTGCTATCGGTATATATTATTTGCACAAAATTTGATACAACTAAGTAAGTGACAGCTTCAAATGGTGGCACTTATATTTTCCTTTTCTTTCTTTGGTACTTAGAGAGATAGGAGACTGTCAAAATAGTGACCTTTAAAGTATTTAGGATGAATATTACACCAGAGTGATGTGCCAAACGTGGTAATGGGTACCCATGGTGGACAGTGTTGGCTGGAGCTTCCCGACTAAAACAAGCCTGGAAGCAGGAGCGGCATCCACTTCCAAAATGGCTTGCCTCTGGAAACTCTATGTACAAACTGCTCACTCAGGTCTTTCGTTCATAGGGTCACTATGAGTCGTCTATGACTCGACGGCACCTAACAACGACAACATTACACCAGGGGAAAAACTAAGAGGGCTGGATGGAGAGCACAAAAGTGTTGATCTTTGATTCATGAAACAAATGTTAGGGATGCAAAGATGATCAATGGTTAATATTAAACACTTCCCAGTACCACATATGTATTAACATATTTAAGGCCTACATTAACAATTTTTATTTTGCTGTTTTCTCTTACACAGCTCAAAGTACTAAAACAGGTTAACTTTTTCAAGGACACAAACTTGAAATTTCTATCCATGCTGTTTGTTTACTTCTGAAAGGATTTGTGCTGCTAACCCCAAGGCAGTGCTTCTCTAGCAGTTCTGGTCCACCACTGGCTCTGAAGAAGAAAAATAGGTAGTCTTCTGTGCCTCTGAAAATCAGGTAGGAAGTGAGTTATGAGTCAGTTCAGATTCAACAGCAGTTACATGTGTTTTGGGGTTTGGTTTGGGTTTTTTGTCAACTGTGAAAATTATTTCTGTTCTTTAATACTACCACTTGTAATATTTATGCCATAGTGGCATGAAATAACTAAGACACAGAGACAAATTTATTAAGAGTAATCAGAGACAGGGGAAGGGAGGAATGTTGTTAGGTGACATCCGATATACTATGACTCATAACAACCTTATGAACAGCAGTTCAGAGCCCTGCCCTGTCCTGTGCCAACTACCATACTAAGCTCCTTGCTGAGGGCCTTCCTTTCTTTCCTGACTTCCACTTTCTCCAGCGTTGTGTCTTTTTTCCAAAGACTGGCCCCTTCTAACAACATACTCAGAAGATTGAGATGAAGTTTGGCCATTCTTGCCTCTAAGGAACTTTCTAGTTACACTTACCCAAGACACATTTGCTTGTTATTTTGGCAGTCCATGAAAAATACAGTACCGTTTGTTTACACCACAATTTCAGGTTTTTGCTGTTTTGTTTAATCTCTGGGTTATATTTACTTTCTCAATAACACATGCCAAATTACTTGGTTTTTTCCTTAAAAAGTATGAGTGCTACGCGGTTCAAATCTACCAGATGCTCTGCTGGAGAAGGAGGGGCAATCTCCTCCTGTACCAGTCAGATCTGATTTGATGGTACACCTAAAAATAATATTTTTAAAAAAGAAAATATGAGTGCTTATTAAGGACTAAACTTCCTTATTTCTCACAGCAATCCTATGTGATAAATTATATTTTAGTTGGGATGTTGCCTGAGATTCATCTCTTATTCGGATTATTTGTGTCTTCTCCCTCTTTTGTTTTGCTAGTGGTTTATCGATTTTATTGACCCTTTCAAAGAACCAACTCCTAGTTTTGTTGATAGTTTCAATTGTTTTTCTGTTTTCTATTTATTTCTGCTCTAGTTTTTATAATTTCAGTTTTTTTAAAGGGTGTCGGGTTTTCTTGCTGTTCTTTTTCAATTTGCTGGAGATATTGGGTTAGAGAGTCAATAGTCTGTTTTTCCTGTCTTTTGATGT